ATGCAATTTTTTATAAATATACATAGCATCAAAGTATTAAATCAAGCTAATAAATATATCCAACAAATCAAACTTTTTGTGATAAGAATGTTTAAAATTAAATCTACTAGCAATGTTGAAATATACAGCACATTATTAATATCCGATATCAACAAGTAATGTAACAGATCACTATGATATCTGAGTTCTCTCCTCATCTGGGGCTCAACTAACGTATTAGTATTATTATAATTACATACACTTTACAGAAAAGAAAACTGAGAGTGAAAATATTCAGTTGCTTGGTGAAAGTTACACATTTTATAATAAATCCAGGTCTGTATCCCTCTCATTCCCAGATCCTAGGATGCAGACTAACTTCCTATATAAAATTTAGTTGAGCAATTTTCTCCTATTATAAAAAATAGTAGGGGGGGAGAGGGAGGGGGTGGAGTGGGTGGTAAAGGAGGGGGTGGGAGCAGGGGGGAGAAATGAACCAAGCCTTGTATGTACATATGAATAATAAAAGAAAAATGAAAAAATAAAAAATAAAAAAAAAAGAAAATAGTACCTTATAAACAAATCGAGGTGAAAATCTTCACTTTCACTCAACTGTGGGTACAGAGCAGTTGTGGCTTCTTAAGCCTCCAAAGAATTATTTTCTTCATCTTTCCCAGAGTAGGGAAATCTATCCACTCTGACTGAATCTTGAAGAGAAATGTGTCTCGATGGAGTGGAAACAAATATCAAGAAAATATTTGGGCTTTCATAGAGAAAGAATTGAGGGTGTAAAACGTTGCAGAAAAAATAAAATCTTTTTTTAGAAAGGAAGAATGAATGTACTTGGGTGTAAGGAAACATCAGCATAACTCATGTAACACCAATACCACAATCTGGTTAGAAGCCCTGAGTCACTGACATTTTCAAAAACATTGTTAAAATCAAGAATGCTTATTGGAATATCCAAGGTATTTGAACTCCAGTCTGATTCCTGAAGCCTAACAATTCTTATCAACCTGCTTTAGTTTTGGAAGATAAATAATATTTAAAGGAATAGATGTTTGTGTTTAAAGTATCTTAGTGATAACATATTCCTTATTAAATGGTGATTTCCCTTCATCTCATCCAGGCTGCACCTAAGACAATCCAAATGGAGCAGCATGATATGCTCCTGTGCAGCACATATTTCAAAATCATCAAAACACTAACCCTGTACAAGTTGTAACTGAGAAAGACTTTTGAAGTCAATAATTCATCAGCCTTATTATCTTTTCACCTAAATTTAAGTCTTAAAAGCTAAGAGATGTAGAGAGCTATTGTAGACTGTAATTCTTCTCATTGTTATCTACTGTAACTGACTAGCTTAATGTTTTAGATATTTGCTTCCGTATTTCATTTCAACAAGTGAAGCAAAAGTGGGAATGTGTAGGAGCTAAAAAATCATCAAAAAACACTTTAAGTTTCCTTAGTTGCTATGGGATAGGAATTGCTTCCTACAAGTGGTTTATAGCATGCCTCTTTTTGCCACTAAATTTAGAAATTTCAATAATGTGATAAACAGGACTAGCCACACTGACTAGAACAACAATTATTAAAATACTCCAAATTATGCAGGCAGTATTGATTATATGTTCTGTAGGTAGAATAAAATTATTATTCCTTTTCATTCAGTTTAGCATTCATAATACTCTTCAGTACCAGGTGATTAGACATTGGAAAATATCTAAGAAAACACCAAGAAGATAGCCGGATTTTCAGATGTTAGAATTTCCAAAAAATGTAGAAACCTGGATACTGAAATACTGCAACCAAAATATGACAATACTGAGGTGTTTACACAAAGGCCAAGAAAGATTCCTTATGTCCTAATCTGTCTTCTTTTTCTCTCTGAATTTGGTAGGCACTACTAGTTAGAAAAGCTTCCCTCAGGTCACAAGATGTTTTTCTTCTGTTTTCTTCTCCTTTGGAGCATTATTATACTCATAGCACATGGGACAAGAGGACCAACTGTCAGATTCTAAGTGTGTAACAAGATCATATTTTAAAATGATGAAACTTCTTATTTCTACTTTCTCAAACAAATGTCATCTATTGCCTGAAGATGATGGAACAAACCAATTTGATTTATTTAGTCTTTCCTAAATGCCTAGCACTGTCCTGACCTCATTACACATATGATCTTATTTAACCCTAGGGAGTTTATAAGGTAAAAACTATCATTATCCTCATTTCAATGAACAGGGAAATGAGGCAAAAAGTGTTTAAATAATTTTCTCAATATCAATGATCTAGGAAAGATGAATCCCCAAGATATAAAATTCAACTTTTACCTTCTAAACTAGGCTAATTTCAGAGAAAAAGCTTAAGAAAGCAAAGGGTATGTTTATTTGAATGTGCTTCACCGCTTTCTTTTAAACATTTCTTTAATTATAACATTCATTCATACAAAAAAGTATAAAACTCGATGAAGTTTCACAGACTGATTGGTTTCATGTTAACCCAGATTAAGAAACAACATTGTCAACACTCAGAACTCTCCCCTTCCTATCTCCACCTCTCCCACATAAGTATGTCCACTTCTAGAGCAATCAATTTATTTTTGGTACTTTTTGAAATTTTTCTGTTTGGAATCATTCACTATGTATTTGTGTGTCTAGCTTTTTCCCTCAGATTTATATGGTGACATGCATTGATATTGTGTTTCCCTCTCAGTCATAAATGAGAGTCTATCTATAGAGATGCCAATGTATAAGCTTTCTATTTGTGACAACTCGGTTGCTTATGGTTTGGGAATATATAATGTACAGAAGCAGTTGACTATCCTTGTAGGTTATTTTATGGCTTTCAAAAGCTAGCAAATACTCAAAAAAGTTGAGAGTTGCTATATTATATTTATTAACTATTCTGATAGCTACATTTAAGAATCAGCTATTTAAGGCTTTTGTCTCATTTCTATTTCATTATTGTACATTAAAATTATTTTGTAGAAGTCTGTTATTTTTGCATATGAGACCTTCTTTAGATGTATAAACATATATGTGTATGCATGTGCATCAAATCTTATCACACTCTGTGTTTTACTGTTAGACTCTATACATGGTATTTTAGGTTTAAGAAGTTACTAATTATAAGGAATTTTAAATAATTTCTTTCTCAATTATAAATTGCAACATTTTGAGGTAAAGTATTTTCTGTTGCCCATTGTCTCCTTGTCATCACTCTTTTGAATACATTATTCCACTATCTCCTGACTTACTAGATTTTGCTGAAAATATGCAAATAGCCTCATTTACCTTCTCTTGTTTGTAATATTCTTTTGTCTTACTGTTTTCAGAATTCATGTCTTTTACTTTTGACAGTGTGATTATGTGTCTTTTGAATACCTTTTACTTTGAATTTAATTGGAGACTTCTGAGCATGCTGTACCTACACTTTAAATGAAATATACATAATAGAAATATATATACTTTCCATACAACTAAAGGAAAATACACATTCTTCTCAAGCAGACAGAGAATGCTTTACAGGCTAGATCACATGATGGGACATAAAAATAAATTTTAACAATTTTAAGAAAATTAAAATCAATTAAATTAAGTGCTGAATTTTTTTGAAAGAAATAAGCCAAAATGGCAAAACCTTCAGCTGGAATACTTATAAAAGAGTTAACATTCATATAAATAAAATAAGAACTGAAATTATAATGGATGTTTCATGTAAAAATTATTACATGGGATTATTCTGAACAAGTCTGAACTAACGAACTAAATAACCAAAAGGCTATGGATAAATTCCTAGAAATCTACTACCTGCAAAGATTAAATGAGGACTACAACAAACCTGAAGAGATCAATAAGAAATAAAGTAGTAATTAAATAGAAACACACATAAATTACAAATAAAAATGTAGTATGAGTAGTAGTTAAAAATCTCCCAACACAGAAAAGTCCAGGGCTACACAGTATTACAACTAAAGGACTTCATTTTTCAATTAAGGAAAAATTCTAGTCTTTTTGAAACTCTTCCAAAAATACAAGCGTATGGAATACTTATAAACACATTTCTTGTCCCCAAAGTCAGGCAAATACACTGCAAAAAAATATAAAGAAGGTCTAATAAGTCTGATGAATATAGCATGTAAAATTCTCAATAAAATGCTGAAAAAAAATTCAACAACACTCCAAAAGGATAATAAATCATGACCAAGTGTGATCTATCACTTGGAAGTAAAAATGTCTGACATCAAAAAGAGAAGTGAAAATGAGTATCAGCAAGGATTTGAAGAAAAGGAAACCCTTCTGCATTTTTGTAACTATTGTTGAAAACAGTATGAAGAATACTAAGGACAATACAAGTAATATTGTATTACTATATGACATGATATAGTAATCTCTCCTTTGAGTGTATTCCTTACAAAAGTGAAATAACCATCTCATAAAGAGACTTTCCTCCAGTTTTTATTGCAGCATTACTTATAATAGCCAAGAGAGCAAAATAAAGTGTCAATAAGCAGATGAATTGATAACTTGCATATTCATGTACACACATGTATATAATATATAAAGAAGTGCTATTCATTTTTTAAAAAAGAAGTAGATCTTTCCATTTGTTATAATTTGTATAGTCCTAGAGGGCATTATGCTCATGTAATAAGAAACAGGAAGAAAAATCTTAATGCATTAAAGCAGAAGGTAGAATTGTGATTTTCAGAAATGAGGGAGGGGAAAGAGAATAGGATTATCTCAAAGGGTACAAAGTGGCAGTTAGATGTAATGGAGACTCTATAAATATAATGCATAGCTTGAGAAATACACAGAATTATATACTGGAAATTTGTTAAGAGAGTAGATTTCAGGTACTATTACCAAAAAAGAAAAAGAAAGAAAATAAAAAGGAAGGAAAGCTACGAGAGAAAAAAACCAAATTGTATATTATATATACATATATATATAAACACAAGGAAATATTATACTTGATTTACCATTATTATAGTTTATTTTAACAAGAGTCCACACTGAGCACTAAATGCAAAATTTGCATTGATTCTTAAAGACCCTGTGGAAGGCATTTTTTACCTCTTTGTTCCTTAAACTATAGATCAATGGGTTAAGCATGGGACTCACTAAAGTGTAAAACACAGATGCTATTTTATCAGTCTCAAAGGAGTGAGTAGATTTGGGCTGCAAGTACATGAAGAATAGAGACCCATAGAACACCACCACCACTGTCAGATGGGAACCGCACGTGGAGAAAGCTTTTTTCCTACCTTCTGCAGAATGCATTCGACATATTGCTAACAGAATCAGAACATAAGATATGAGCACTACCAGAAGGGACGAGATCAAATTAAATCCTGAAAATAATATAATCAATAATCCTATTTCCTGAGCATTTGAGCACAGCATAGGTAACAAAGGAACATCATCACAGTAGAAATGGCTGATGACATTAAAACCACAGAAGGTCAATGTAAAAATCTTAATAGTGAACATCAGAGCCTGAAAGGCACTGTAGAGGTATGGAATGCCCACCAGCACATGACAAAGTCTCTGAGACATGATAACATTGTAGAGCAGAGGGTTACAGATGGCCACATAACGGTCATAAGCCATGGAAGATAAAATGAAAAATTCACTGATAATAAACATAAGGAAGAAAGCTAACTGTGTAGCACAAGCATAATAAGAAATGGTATTTTGATCAACAATGAAATTTACTAACATCTTAGGACAAATGACAGTGGAATTGCCAAGATCAATGAAAGCCAGATGTCTGATAAAGAAATGCATAGGTATGTATAGGTGGGAGTCCAGTTTGGTCAAAAGGATCAAGCCCAGGTTGCCCAGCACTGTGATTGTGTAGATAATTAGGAAAACCCCAAAAAGTGGAAGCTGCAGCTCAGGCACCCTTGTGACTCCTACCAGAATGAATTCAGGCAGCATTGTTAAGTTCTGTTGGCTCATTTCATCCAGTTATATTTTCTGTGAAGAAATGGAGGTATTGTTTGAAGCTTTCAAGTCATCTAAAAAATTACAATGTTTGTAGACTGAATGGTTATTTTTCTTTGTAATATTTTATTGGAAAATAATTCCCATGTCTAATTTTGAAACTAAAATAATGGATATATTATTCTACTTTGAATAATAGCAATTCTTATGAAAGGCATATATCTATATACCATAGATTAAATTCTACATAGTATCAGCAATAGTTGGAGTATATCCATTCATAACAAAACCATATGATACTAATAAAGTGTTAGAATGCATTTTGTCTACATAAGGCATGAGTGTTTTCATTAGGGCACTTACATTTTTTGTCTGGTAGTTCTTGAGAAATTTTGATAGTCTTAGAGACAGAGAAAGAGATCACATGAAGCTGGCAAAGTTTGTTTCTGAGTCTTTTTCCAAGTCCTGGGTCAGGCCTTAAAATGCACTAAAAAATAGTATATCTTTGCAAATATTGTACATGTAACATATTTGAATTGTAGTAAACTATGCCCATTTTGTCATTCTATACCATATCCATTCCATTGAACTTCAAATAAACATTGGTACATCTACATGATTAATGGGGTCAAACTAACAGTGGATTGCATCATGGACATTTATCATTGACCAATGATATCTTTTCTGGTGTAGAAATGTGTAATGAATTGTGTTTGGAATTTTATGAATACAATATTATGCTCATAAATTTGATGACGTTTATAATCAGCTGGGACTTTAGCATTATTTTCTAAATTGTATAAGAAGTCACATTTATGTCTCAATTTAAATGTATAATTTTCCTTGTCTCATTTTTTAACAGAGCCTCTCTTTACGAATAGTTTCTAGATGCCAAGACCCGGTTTCATTCCAATGACAACATCAATGCTCAGAGATTTTTATTATCCTATTTTATATATTTCCCTCTGATATGCTAGAGCTGATATGATCTATAAGGAAACAGTCTGAGAATTTTGGAGGTTATAGTTTGCTGTGAATTTGTTTCTATAATTATGAAATGGAGCGTTTATAGACTAAACTGTGATTTCAATATTTCAGTAACAAGAACTTCAGCTTCATTTAATAAATTTACGTGGGAAATCAGAAAAACAAAGTGGAACTGCTTTGACTGAGGATAGTGAAGTTTTAGCCGAATCATCATAAAAACACTGCGCAACTCCAGTAAACCCCAGTTAGCACAATGAATTTCCTAATGTATTTGTGGGTGTCAGCTCTCAGTTAACTTAAGAGAAGTTTCTGCACTTGGAAGCCAGGGATCATGTGAAATTACTTACACTCAGGTGGTTATCAAAATCAAGGACAATTATTATCCACTTTCTTTTAGGAGAGAATGAAGTTTTCAAATTCCTCTCACTTTTTCTTTAGGTAAGAAGTATTTATGATTTTCCTCCCTCAATGGGATGTTCCCTGAGAAAGTAAATTGTAATTCATTCAGATTATTACACCAAAATCAAGTGAGAGAGTTAAAAATTGCCTTGACTTTGTTGCTAATTGTCTAAGACACCCTGCATATTCCCCAGTGAGAAATAAAGAGACAACTCAAGGAAAGGAGAAAACAACATAAATGATCTGTTTAACCCATGGAGACCTAAACTATTTAAAGATATTCATTCATTCAGTTACAAAGCACCAACGATTAAAGTGACAAAGTAAATATTTTGATATCTGATTTATCCCAGCAAAACTGGGAAACAATCCCAATAAAAAACTGGAACTTTATCCCAATGAAACAACTACAGTCTTGATAGAATTATAGGTAACATTGTTGTTATTAAAATTGCATAGGACTTTTTTAAAAGATTATCATTCAGATAAATTATGTGGCAGGAACTAGGCTGATCCTTTAATCCATACTTGGGAGTTAGATATTGCTATTCCTATATTCAGAACACCCCAAGCTCAAATACAATTTCATTTGTGTCTATTGCCTAACAACTAAATCAAGACATAGAACTTTTTCAACAGCAAGAAAAGTTTCCCAAGGCTTTATATCTCCACACGCTATGCCACATCCATCCTAAAGAAATTTTCCTCCCACATTAATCCCCCAAACAATAATTTCCATAGTCAGGCCACCAATCCTATCCCTAGACTTTGATTTTAGAGTTATTTACTTGGTATCTTCCAATCAGGATATTATTTTTTTAATTCATTCATGTTATATATACTTTGATTCATGATATTCTATTGCATGGATATAACACAATTATCTAATCATTTTATATTGATAGTATTTGAGCTTTGAGTTAACATGAAGTCTAGTATAAAACTCCTGTACAAACATATTTATTGATATATGCATTTGTTTTTCTTGGTTATACATCTAAGAGAAGAATTACTGAATCTTATTTTTTATGAAATTCAATTTTAGAAGAAGCCATTAGCTTTCCAGACTTATAACTTCCATTGTATATTACCAATGTAATTCTGGACATTCTTTTAGTTATTTGATAGAGGAAGGGATTTTTTTTTTAAGTTTTTAAATTAGAAATGGAAGGTGATACAAGATGCTATCTCAGTGTGATTTTAGTTTTTATTTATTTGATAACTAGTGATAATAATAACTTTCCATATATTTGAACATTCATTGTTGTTATAAAATTTCTAAATGCGTATTTTAAAGAGGAATTTCCTTTTTATTTGAATTTTAAACTTTTACATGTGTTATAAATAAAACTTTTCAGATTTTCTTCTAGAAGCTTTATTATTGCATCTTTTTGGTTTTTTTTTGTTTTATTGTTGTGCTTTATTTTGACTTTGATGTTTCTGTCTTTGACACAAGATCCTGCTCTGATACAAACAGGAAATTTGTTACTGCCAGGGGTCAAAGTAACTCTCCACCCAAGACATTCACACATGCAAAAACAGATTTTAATACAGGAATGGAGCAGTTTGAAGAGCCAAGTATGCTACTATTAAAGCTTAAACCAAGTTTTCAGGATCACAAAAGTTTCCTAAGACAGAGAAGACCTTAAGAGGACTAAACACAGGCCTCTGTCCTACTTTGAGCTAAGCTCTACTTTTCCTATATAATTTGTGTAATAAGAAATTTTGAATTCTGTCATGGACATTCTTACCTTTCTCTTAATAATGTTGATTATAGTAGTCTCTTAAAATTTTATTTTAGGAGGAAATTAACATAATTTTGCTCATATTGAAAACACTTTTTCTTAGATGCTGAAACATACCACTTGATGTATTTAGCCTTTTCCAAACTGTTAGAATCTGCCTTGGATATGCTGGAGGACTCACGGTCATTGACTTGTATATTAAAAAATGCATTTTTCCTTCCCTGGCCATATCTTTTGGGTACATTCTTAATTTTCCTGTGGCTGTCATTGCACAAATTCTGTCTTCCTATTCTGTATGTCAGAAAGGGGGCTTTATATGAGATTTCCATCTGAATGTTTTGATTGGAATATTGCCTCAAAACAAAAGTTTGTTAAATTAGGAAAGTCACCTATTCCTTTAATGTAATATCTTACTCTAAATATTGCACACTTTTGTTTTGGCAGGCAGTGTATGTATTGTATTATATTTATGTATTTATTTAGCTAGTAGCTTCTATCTTTTGTGGGTTAGTGTTGAGCTAAATGAGAGTAGAAATTAGTTAATTCTTTCTTCTTTGGTGAGTTCATCTTTCTTCTACTTTCTCTTGAGAATTCGCTAGGATTGTATTAAGTTTCGCCAGTAGAAAGTGTCAGATTATGATCATATTTCAACCTTGTTTGAAGTGATAACTTCATCACACAGATTCCTGGAAACATCATTTTCCTTGGTAGTCATTGACTTATTGAATTTCACTACAATGCATGAAGTTTTGAGATTATCCAAAGTCTCAGACTCCATGCTGATTTCTTAGTTGCTCTCTGCCTTTATTCCAGTACTCAAGTCTAAATACTCCAGGAAACATAGCCCTGCTGGTTCATATTTGTGTCCTCATCTAAACATGAATATTGATTCCTCTTTGTGCCTTACTACCAACCCATGTCAGAGAAAAGTAAAATTATTCTTTCATCACAGATCATAACCATATGGCATCTGTTGTCAAAATGTATGTTACATATCTGATTTTCATAATAGTTGATACAATTGAAAATTTCATTAAGGATATTTAGAAACTCCCTAGGAAATGTATAACCCCAATTTCAACTTATCAGTAAAATTTTAGCATTCTTTTAATTTTTTCCATGGTGATAATCCATTTTCTCCCCTGATTCACACTATCAATTTTAAAACACATTTCTTATGTTCAGAATAGATGTTTAGATGTGTAAGTACATTAATTCTCCAGTATTTCTCAAATGAATGTTCATTTCTGATTGTCCCTTTATCTTTAGTGTGACACATATTGTCTAGAGTATATCATCCATTGGCAAATATCAGTCTGATGAATATAAACTTTGCATCTAAACCAGATTTCTAAAAGGATTCCTCCAAATGCATTCAGCATGTTAAACTGAATATGTACATTATTTTTGGAATATATAGAGAACAGTGAGCAGACTGGGAAGAATAAATGTAGAAATTATTTATACAAAGCTTCAAATAACAGAGATTTTTTAACATCTCTGTTCTGACAAGATATAGATGGTTATGTTCTGAATCTCATATCTGAGTGATTCCACTGAGTGTTTTCCTTCATGATGCTCATTGGGGTCCAAATCATATAAATATTTACATGTCTACATATTGGGATTAATATGACTAGGTCTTAAACTCTATTTACCTAATACCTTGTAAATGCTATTCTTTTTCTTTCATTTTCTAACTTTGTTCTGACTACAAAATTTAATATTAATTTTCTTTTGAGAGTTTTAATTATGTATCATTTTATTGTTCAAAGTAAATATTTTAACTCTGTAGAGATACTGACATTAGAAACAGGAAGACACATAAGTTTTGTTTTCTATAATGGAGAGAAGATAAATCAACATTTATGTATAATATGTAAAAACCAAGAAAAATATAGAATGCTA